TCACCAAACATTCGCAGTTTCCTGTCGCTGTTGACGATTTACTTTCTCTCGCGGGGCCGCTCTCGGACGATCCGTTCGAAAAGCATGCGCAGACCAAGGACATCCTTGCACAGGCGTGTAAGGATGTAATCAACTTCAGCGCTGAGCAGACCAACAAGTCGCTATCTGAGAAAATTGCCTGGTCTCTTACAGCGCTTCGAGGCACTCTGCGAGGTCAGCTCTGGCTGGTGCGCAAGGCCGTCCTGGCCTACCCCGTGCTGAGCCGCTTCTCGACCCCGAGTCTGCCATGTGGTTAGACGTTCGGAGCTTCCATTCCCACCTGAACGAAATGAAGCACGAGCTCATCTCTCAGCAAATCACCGAAGTCGAACAACAAGCTATCTCCGACAATCGCAAACGTGACGCCAAAAAATCAAGCTATACAAATATCAAACAGCGTGGGGAAGGAAGCATCGGCGCATTTCTCTGTCTGGCGTCTCGGATCCGACTGGCAAGGCCATCGCAGATCCAGAGTGCGTTGCCGCCGAGCTCGCATCCTACTGGGGCCAAGTACATTCGCGTGTTGACTGCTCGGAAGAGGACCGACAATTGCTTAGTGAGTTTGTTCAACCTTGCCCGCCTGAAATCATCTGGAAGCTTGAGCCCCAGGAGTTTGCCTGCCTCCCTTCCAGGGTCTCGGACTCCGCCCCTGGCCCCGACGGTGTCCCGTACAGTTGTTATTCCAAGGGAGGGCCTGCAGTTGTTGACACTCTTTATGGGCTTTATTCGGAGATGTTCGCGAATGGAAACGCCCCTGTCGGTTTTAACCATGGCATGGCGGTCTTCCTCGCCAAGGGCAGCGATCCAGAGGATACCCCCCGGCACATCATACGTAAGCCCGAGGTCACGCGCCCCATCGCTCTTTGGAATTCTGACAATAAGTTGATTTCCGTCGCCCTCAACAGATCATTTTCTAGGGTCGCTGCCCAAACTGTGCTTGGTAACCAGCGAGGTTTTATCGCTGGCCGTTTCATGAATGAGACTACTATCAACCTTGAGAGTAAGGCGGCGTCTTGGTTTGCCCAATACGGCCACCAAAACGCGGGGACCGTCTACTACGATGTTCGGGCTGCTTTTCCGAGCCTACTGCGCAGTTTCATCTTCTGGGTTCTTCGGGCTATGGGTATTCCTTCCTTCGTCATCAATGTCGTGCACGCGTTGTATACCGACGTCCAAATCAACATCAACTTCAATGGGATCCGCAAGGCCTCCTTCGTAGCCTCCCGTGGGATCAAGCAAGGATGCCCCCTCCCGGGCACCATCTTCTGCCTCGCCCTTGACCCGCTCATCCGCTACATGCTCACCCGTATCCCCAGGCGTCCCTCGTGCTTGGCAGCTTTCGCTGACGACATCGGCGTTGCCGCTGCTGATGTCTTCTCCGCCTTCCGCGATCTCTTGCCAGCTTGGAAGATCGCTGGTACGGCTGCGGGTCTTCACATTCACCTTGAGAAGTCAGTCATTGTACCGCTTGGCGACCTCTCGCAGAAGCAGTGCTGCGACAGAATGGTTGCCTCTGGCGTGAGGACTGCCGAGGGCCTCACCTTCCAGCGCGCTGGCAAGTATCTCGGTGTGTTTCTTGGGGAAGATGGCCGACGTGCTAGTTGGGCCCTCCGTCTATGAAATGTATCTCGCGGGCTCATGAGATCAAACAAGTTGGGGCTGGGCTGTGTAAATCCATTGTCATGGTGAACCTCTTGGTCTTCTCGGTCCTGGTGCATGTTGCCCAGTTCTACCCCCCCACGAAGCAGGCCTTCCAGGCTGTTCGAAAAGCCCAGCAGTGTGTGACCAACACCCCGAACAATGGCCTCCCCCAGAATCTCTTGCAGCAGCTCCGTGAATGGAGTTTCCCGACGCAGGCTCGTTCTCTCGAGGCGGCAAGTCGCGCGGCCATGTACAGGGCCGCTATCGTGTCGCCCGCGCTTGACGACGCCAGGGCCCTCTTCGAAGATGAGAGCGATGCAGACAACATGCTCGCGAAGTGGAAATGGTCTGAGGTGTGGAAGTCGTCTGTTGTGTATGCCATGATTACCCACTTTCGAAAGCTCGCGTCCATCCCGTCCGTCCCGCCCTTCGGTACTCCTAAGCTTCAAGCCGTGACTGAGTCCGCCCTCCTCGCTCTGTCTCCGATTTCGTTGCGGTCGATTCTTGAGGTAAGGCATAGGAAGTTCGGCTCGCCTCCGTCCCCTGCCCAGATTGATCTGATGTACATTGCTCTCAAGCGTCTGTGTAAGCATGCTCCCGCCTGTCTCGTAGCGAATGTCATCCGCACGTTTTGCAACTCTTGGTGCACCTCCCGCCGTTTCCGAGGTGCTACTCTCACTTGTAGATTTTGTGGCATGGCCTCTGCCGATTGCTTGCTCCACATTCTTGTTTGTCCCTGCTTCTCTCCCCTGTGCCGTCTTCTTCCCTCGCTTCCGTCCTCTTTCGCTTCCGCCTCTGCCTCCGCTCGCGCCTCTCTTTTCCCGCTTCTTCCTCTAGGTCTTTCTCAGCTCATCAGTGTCGCCTTGTTTGTTGATTCCTGCTACACGTGCTACCATGAAGCTAAATGGTGGACCCGTGTTTCGGCGCCCCGCGAACGAGAGCGATTGGAGAAGCTGGCTAAAGCCCGCCTCATCCAGCTCCGCAGGCGGGCCCCGCCTGCCACTGTTGCCGCGCTGAGGAGGTGGCGTGTCGTCCGCCGTCGTCGGTCGTCTCTCTGGGGCTGTGCACTCCTCCTCCTCCTCCTCCTCCTCCTTCTCCTCCTCCTCCTCCTCCTCCTCCCCCTCCACCCCCTCCTCCTCCTCCTCCTCCTCCTCCTCCTCCTCCAAATCCTCCTCCTCCTCCTCCTCCCCCTCCTCCTCCTCCTCCTCCTTCCCGCTCGGGAGCCGTGGGGCGGGGGCCCATGCAAGCGGGGGTCAGCCAGAGCGCCGGGTCTTGCAGGATCCTGCAGGGCCAGCGTCGCACTTACCCGGGCTTGGGTGCAGGATCTTGCAGGGTTCTGGAAGGCCTGACTGATCCGGGTCTGGATTGACCTGGGTCAGAAGATCCCCGAACGCGCGGAACTCGCACGAAGCGGATCTCGCACGGCGAAGTTCGTCCGAGGCGGGAATTCATACACGACCGCCGCCTGGGGGGTCAGCGTTTGGAGCCTCGGCGGGCGGTGGATATACACATGTTCGGGCCCCCAGGGGCCGAAATATATTCATATCCACCGCCCGCTGGGGCACCAGGACGTCGCTTCCCAGGCGGTGGATATGGTTAAATCCCCGCCTCGCAGAAGTTCGCACGCGCGGAACTCGCGTGGACGCAGTCGGATTTGAATATTCGCGCGCGCGGAATCCGCACGAGGCGGAGCTCTCGCACACGCGGAACTCGCGCACACGTGGAGCTCGCACGCGCGGAGCTCGCACGCGTGCGGGTTCCGCCACGCTGGATTCGTTGAGCGTGGTCGTTCGTGCGAGCTCTCAGTTCGTGCAAGTTTCGCTTGTGCGGGCTCCGTCCGCGCAGGTTCCTTGTCGTGGGAGTTCCGTGCGCGCGTGCTCCGCGCGGGCGAGTTCCGTCCGTGCGAGCTCCGCCCCGTGAGACTTCCACTCAGTGCGAGTCCCGTCCCTTTCAAGGGGGGTCAAACGCGACGGCGGCGGCGGCGACGACAACGACGACGACGACCACAACGACCACGACCACGACCACGACCACGACGTCGAGTCAAATAGAGTGAGCACCTCGTTGCGGGTGCAGCTTTCGGTAGAGCTCCCTATGGAGCTGCGAAGCGCGTGAGGAGCGTGCCGAAATGGTGCGGGGCCGCCATGCGTACGCGGCCACTGGTGCCTTCGGGGAGACGCATGCGGCCGCGGCCATTGGACTCTTCGATGGAGTTCCACATGGGGCCACGAAGCGCTGTACCGGGTGAGGGAGACGCATGCGGCCGCGGCCATTGAGGCATTCGGTGGAGCTCCCTATGGGGCCACGAAGCGCTGTACTGGGTGGCGTGGACGGGTGCGAACGCGGCCGCTGGGGCTTTCGATGGAGCTCCCGATGGGGCCACGAAGCGCTGTCCCTGCTGGCGCAGACGCATGCGAAGATGGCCACTGGGGCCTTCGGTGGAGCTCCCTTGGGGCAGCGAAACGCTGTATTGGCTGGCGGGGAGGCATGAAAACGCGGCCACTGGGGCCGTCGGTGGAGCCCCCTTGTAGGGCCACGGAACGCTGGACTGGGCGGTGCGGACGCATGCGAACACGCATGCGAACACTGCCGCTGGGGCCTCAAATGGAGCCCTTTATGGGGCACGAGCCGCTTTATTGAGCGGCGCGGACGCATGCAAAATCGGCCACTGGGACCTTCGGTGTAGCTCCCTGTGGGGCCACGAAGCGCTGTATTGGGCGGCGCGTGCGCGTTCGAACGCGGTCACTGGAGCCTTCGGTGGACCTTCCATTGGGGCCACGAAGCGCGGTACTGGGTGGCGCGGACGCATGCGAACGCGGCCAATGGGGGCGTTGGTGGAGCTCTAATGGGGCCACGAAGCGCTGTATTGGGTGGCGCGAGCGCATACGAGCGCGGCCTGTCTCCTCCTCCTCCTCCTCCTCCTCCTCCTCCTCCTCCTCCTCCTCCTCCTCCTCCTCCTCCTCCTGGGCCGGTGCGCGTGCCTTTGGAGCCCGCCGCCCTTCCCGGGCCTCCCCCCCCATGCGCGTGCCCGCGCGCTCGCGCCCCCCCCCCAGAGCGGCAGCTCCTCGTCCCGCGTGCTCCGTCGCGCTCCTCTCCGGGTCCTCCCCCGCTCCCCCGCCCCCTCCTCTCCCTCCGGCCGCTCCCTTCTCCTCCATCCTACCGCCTCCCCGCGCACTCCTGCCCCCCTCTCTCCCCCAGTCCCCCCCTCCTCTCTCCCGCCTTTTTCCCTCGTGTCCCCCCCTCCTCCCGGCTCCCGCTCCTCCCCGCCGCACCCCTTTCCGCGCTCCCCTCCCCCCCCCCACTCCCCGCCACGACGAGAGGGCATGGTGCCCCTCATCGTCGTGATGGGAATCAAGAACGAGTTCTCGGAGATCCCCGCGGCCGTGGGCGAGCTTTCCATCATGGGCTACACCTGGGTCACCCTCAGGACCGGTGGGAGGAGGGGCTCCTCGAGGATTGAGGTCCTCCAGTGCAGTCACAGAGGGGGGACGTTTAGGGACCGCTCCTCCTCCTCCTCCTCCTCCTCCTCCTCCTCCTCCTCCTCCTCCTCCTCCTCCTCCGCGCCTGCCTTCCCCCCCCTGCTCCTGCCCCTCCTGCTCACGCCCCTCCCCCTCCGCCTCCCCCTCCTGTTCCGCCTCCTCCCCCTCCCCCATCCTGCCCCTTTCTCCCGGGACCATTTCACCCCCGCCGCCTCCTTCTCCCCCGCCTCCTTCTCCGCCGCCCCTTCTCCCACTCCCCGTCCTCCTCCCTCCTCCCTCCTCCCTCCTGAGGTTGCTTGATGGCATTGGAGTGATTGAGGTCTCTGGATCAGGGTCCCTTGGGGCCTCTGGAGGGCCCTCGGGAGTTTCGGGGGCTTCTGGGGATTTCTGCAGGGGGAGGGGGGGAAGAGGAAAGGTAGCGTGACAAAAAGGGGAAGGGATGGGAAGGGAAGGGGCAGAGAGTTATTGGGAGTGATCCGCCGAGCTGCTGTTCGAAACCGGAATCAAAATAAATGATGTTATTGGAGGATAGGGAGGCGGAGCAGGAGGAGGACGAGGACGAGAACGAGGACGAGGACCAGGAAGAGGAGGAGGAGGAGGAGGAGGAGGAGGTGGAGGATGAGGAGGAGGTGGAGGAGAAGAGAGGAGAGGAGAGGGGGAGAACGAGGAGGAGAAGGCAGGAGGGAGGAGGAGGAGGAGGAGGACGACGAGGGTCACCAGGGATGAGGACGAGTGAGACGAGGGTGGAGGAGGGCGAGAAGGAAGGGGGAAGCGTAATGAGAGAGGGAGGATCGGGATGATGATGAGGAGGAGGAGGAGGAGGAGGAGGAGGAGGAGGAAGAAGAAGAAGAAGAAGAATAATAAGAAGACGAAGACGAAGAAGAAGAATAAGAAGAAGAATAAGAAGAAGAAACAGAAGAAGAAGACGAATAATAATAATAATAAGAAGAAGAATAATAATAATAAGAAGAAGGAGAAGAAGAATAATAAGAAGAAGAATAATAAGAAGAATAAGAAGAATAAGAAGAAGAAGAATAAGAAGAAGAAGAAGAAGAGGAGGAGGAGGAGGAGGAGCCGGAGGAGGAGCCGGAGGAGGAGCCGGAGGAGGAGGAGGAGGAGGAGGAGGAGGCGGAGGCGGAGGCGGAGGAGGAAGAGGAGGAGTGAGGAGGAACGAGGTTTTTCTTCCTCATCCACTTCCTCTCTCCTTATCCACCTTGCCCTCACCCCCTCCCTCATTCCTTCATGGTCCCCCGTCCCCCCCTTTTCCTTCCTCCTCCTCCTCCTCCTCCTCCTTCTCTTCCTCTTCCTCCTCCTCCTCCTGGTGGCCAGGCAAGGCGCAAGCGCGAGCGACACCCTCGAAGTGGCCACACCCCCACTACTTTCCTGCGGGATTCCCCCATGGATTTCGCAGACTTGGCGGTGGCAACGCCATGGCGACAGCAGGCCTGTGTCAGATGTCCTGTTCAACCCGCTGTGCGCCAACACGCACCGCGGACTCTTAGACACTGTTCACGAGGCAGGCAACGAAGATTTCATTGGCTTGATCTGGAACTGATCACAAGAGCCGAGGCGAGGTCATGGAGGACGCGGGAACGATTCGACAATTCAGCTCCATCGAGGCGGGGTACTCGTTCGGCCAGCTCACGATTAGGAGCTGTGGTACTACGCTGACTATCAGGAAATCAAGATTTCCAGGAGGACGTGTATCACGAAAACGTTTGATGCATCAAAATGAATTCGCTAGAGAGAGAGAGAGAGAGAGAGAGAGAGAGAGAGAGAGAGAGAGAGAGAGACACATTTCCGCCAGGAGAGACACCACCCGGAGAGCGACAGCATTACGATCGCAACGTGGAGCATCGTCTTAAGTGGTTTTCTGAAACGACGGTGGTCATTCGATAAAGAGATAGAGAGAGAGAGAGAAAGAGAGAGAGAGAGAGAGACAGAGAGAGGCGCAGCGCCGATTATCATGACAGAACTGAATAGCGCAGTGCCGGCGCACTGCCACATTTGCCCGCTATATCAGGCGGCAGGCGTGCACGGCACTGGTAAGATTACTCCGTCTTATTCGAGGTTCAGGCCGTGCGCTGACAGGGTGGTCGCTTGCCAGCGCATCGACGCATTATCCCAGACCTCCGACTCACATTGGGGAGATAGGCAGTTCATTCAAAGATCGCATTATCTTCCCAGAGAAATGGCGCATGCGGTGGCGAGGGTCAGTGTCTTGACGGCAAGAAGGTTGCAGCCCATCAAGTACCCAGAACCCAGCTATCATCGGCCAGTTCATGTTTCCTTGATTGCACAGTTGGCAACCGAACCACTTCCCAGGATACCTCCCATGCCGAATCGAGAGGCGTTGTATCAATGCTTTCATGCGGGATATGGGCGGATTGAGGTGCTCGAGGCGACGGAGGAAGAAGTCTGCAGGGTACAGGAGGAGTACGACGCAGCGGCAGCAGCCTGGGGCGCCCATGTGATGAATGAGCTACTTGCAGGCGCATTGAGCAACGCAGCCGTCGACGCCCTTCCATCTGAAGCGGGTCAAGGAAGCCCAGAATCAGGGGAGGGGTTGGATGCGAACAGGAGTTCGTCAAGATTGATCGCCCCCGGGACGCAACGATGGCCCTCGTTGGCGACCGTGCAGGAAGCACGGGGGCCCCCCGCGACGCGGCGCGGCGCCCGGGCAGCGCGGCGACCCGAGGATCACCGCAAGTTAGACTGCGACGGGAAGCGGTTGACCACGGTGATGCGCGCTCCAGGCCGAGCTTTACAGGCAGCAGCTTCGGCGCGCAAAGGGCCTCGATGGGACCCACCGCATTGGCTTCGCGGGGGATTCAGGATTAGGGGGGGAGGGAGAGGGCGACGGGGGCGCAGACGGCTGGATCTCGCCGCGCCGGCAGCTGGCATCGCGCGCGCGGCGTTGCCACGATGCCACTAACGCCCACTAAACAAGCAAGCGCGACATATGACTGGACAACGCACGCTCGTACCACGCGCCTGTCGACGGGCAATTGATCGCGGATAGGATGCGGCGCGCGCGCTCTTTCTTGCAGATTAGGCGCACGCTGGCTGACACAAAAAAGCTGCCGCGCGCGCGCCTGGCGCCCGCGTCGCGAGGAAATCGCTGTCAATTGCGCATGGAGAAAGTATCATCGGCGGCGAACCAGCGCATGGAATGGGAAGGCGCGCTCAGGGCCAAAGAAGTGGCGCGGCGACGCATGGCGGCCAGCGCGGCGCGCGGTTGCTCTCCGCGGTCAAGGGCGCGATGTGCCAGTCTCCCAGAGAAGCCCTCCAGTCTCGCGTGCTTTCTCTGTCCCGTGGCGTCCAGCTCCGTGGTCGATCCGTTCATGCATCGGCGTGAACGCGCCCGACCTTCTCTTGCACCTTCTCCATGCGCGCGAGAGTTTCGACAGGCCGGGGGGGCCGCCGACGCCGTGAATTGCGCGCCCTGGTGCGCGAGCAGCAAGTGCGAGAGGCTGCGCGCGCGGAGGGGGCGAAGTTGCTTCCATTTCCAAGAAGCAGATGGCGGGCTTACACGAGGCGGAAGAGGAGGGAGAGGGCGGCGGCGCAACGGCGGCCGCGCAGGCGTCGCGAGCGCAGCTGGAAGGCAGAGCGCGCGCGCTGGGGAAGTGGACGCTCGAGGCGGTGCACATGGCCGCGACGACGGTCATCGCAAAGGTCATCAGCGACCGCCCCCTTGCCTTCGCGAAGAAGCGCGAGGGCGCGCTGGAGGGGGGGGGGAAGTCGGGGCGCCAGCGTTCAATTGCCTTTCCGGGGCTCTAGACGCCATCTTGAGCTTCGAGCGCAAGGGCGGCCCCCCGCGCGCGGCCAGCGGCCTGCCTGCGCCCCCGCGGTCGAAGGAGATGCCAGAGACGGGGGTCCGTCGGGCGCGGGAAAGCGGATGAGGAGCTCGCGGCGGGCCAGAGGGGGGTGGGCAAGATCCGCGCCGCCGCTCTTCTCGCATCTCTCCTTTGCGCGCGACAGCTTCGACGGGGCGGGGGGGGGGGCCCGACTCGCGGGCCGCGCGCCCTGGTGCGCGAGCGGCACGCGCGAGAGGCAGCGCGCTCGGAGGAGGCGGAGCTCGCTCCAAGACGCAGAAAACGGCAAGGGCGCGGGCGAGGACATGGAGGGCGAGGAGGACTGCGCAATGGCGGCCTCGCAGGCGCTGCAAGTGCAGTTGCAAGGCAGAGCGCGCGCGCTGGAGAAATAGGCGCACGAGACGGCGCGCGTAGCCAAAAGGGCGGTCATCTTCAAGGCCATCAGCGACCGTTCCCAGGCGATCGCGAAGAAGCGCAAGGGCGCGCAGGAGGGGGAGGAGATCGGAACGCCAGCGTTCAATTGCCTTTCCCGAACTCTAGACGCCGTCGTGAGCTACGAGCGCAAGGGCGGCCCCCAGCGCGCGGCCAGCGCCCCGCTGGCGCTCCAGAGGTTGATGGAGATGCTAGAAGCGGGGGAGCCGATCGGACGCGGAGAAGTGGATCAGGGAGCCCCCGGCGCTTCCGCCCCGGCGCTTCCGATGCGCGACGAGCCAGGGGAGGAGAGCAAGGTCCGCATTATGCACCGCATCCGAGGAGTTGCGCTGCTCGCGAACGACGCAGCGCAGCAGAAGGCAATGCTCAAGGCCAGCAAGGATCAGGAACGCGAGCTGCGCGCCCTCAGCCCGACGGAGAGGTCGGCCATTGGCGGTCGGGCGCCGAGGGGCAACGTGATAGTCGGGCAGATTGGCGGTGGAGCTGAGGCCGCTAGGAACTGAAAGCCGATGATTTTAATCTGCGACGTCGTCATGCTGAGTTGCAAGGCGCTCCTCCCTGATGTTCTCAGCGAATGGGAACCTCATCTTCGCTGGCGACCAGCAAGCGAGGGGTGCTCTGGCGAGACGTTTCGACCCGCTCGTGGCGCGCTTGGGTCTTCGAGGCGCGAGTGGCCCGTCGGCGTATGGCCGCGCCCCCGC